CATTACCGATGGTCGTCGCACAGACATCTCCTGTACAGTTTTCTCATTCATCGATGTATGTGTTTTCTAAGTTTTCCTAGTTTTCTATGAGCAGTGGGTTAGTCAGTCATACACCTCTAGGGTTCTTATTCTATGAAGGTGCTACATCGTCATCAGTTCCTCTCAATAAAATGTATCTACTCCTGACGAAGACGACGACGACGACGATGATGATGATGGTGATGACAGTGAGGAGTCACAACCAATTATACAAAGAAATCCTCCTCGAGATCGGCAGCCACCGCCCTGCGGAACACATTCGCGCCGCAGACATCGATAGTTTTTTATATTTTATTATATTTATATTTACTTGTTTATTGGACTTTATTTATTGTAATTTTTTTATTATTTATCATTTAATATTTAATTTATTTTGTTAATTTTGTTGGACTTTTTGTTAATTAATTTTGTTAATTTTGTTTATTACCATTTAATATAAGTTATTGTAATTTTTTTATTATTTACCATTTAATACTTATTGTAAGTTTGTTGTATTTAAAATTATATTCAAATACCAAATTACTATTAGTTGGATAAAATTTAATAATTGTTTGATAACTTTCTTAAGTTTGTCACTTATTATCTCTTTTATTATAACCACATATAACGCCAACGTCGAATCCCGTTTTCTTGTATTATTTTTTAATCATCATCAATTGTTATTAAATGACATTAACTTTAAGTAAATGTAAATTAAACTACAATAATTATTATTTGATAAACAACAAATACATCAGTTCCTCATCAATGGTTACTTATGACAAAAGAAGTAGACACGTTCTTCTAGTGTGTCCTGAGTTTCTACAATGCCCATATTTTTTGTCTTGTCTAAATGTTTCTCGAATATCCATATCACAATAAATTCGAGTGGATTTTTGACAACCATGCTCCCTCAATAAAGTTGGATCTGGTACAATCGGAACCCAATTCTGAACCTCATTAGGTCTTTGTCATTACCTATGGGGAACTCAAATTTGTATACCTTAAACACTTCTGATAGTAGGTATACAAGATCCACAAAACGGTTATAGTCTTGACGGGTATGCGAGCAAGTTGCTATCACATGAGAGCATGGATACTTCAGAGCTTGAAAAACCCCGCACATCATCTGTCTCGTAGATTTACTCTTAGTGATACAGTTTAATCCCTTGAAGAGGTCGCGGTAACTCTGTGACACGAAACAATTCATACATTCTAGAGAAGCTTGTTACAGACATTTCATTTGATGCAGCAATTTTTTTGTAGATTTGTAACTAATCTAGGGTGATAGACATGAACGCCTTACATCCATGTTTGAGCTTGTCCCTCGAGCTTCACAAAAAATGCCCCTAAACAAAAATATGTAGTTTTTACCAAAGTCGCTACAGGTAAGTGACGTGCACCCCTTAAGGTCGAATTGATTGCCTCACCCAAGTTGGTCGTCATATGTCCATATCGATATCTACCATCACATGCGTTTGTCCACAATTCATTATCGATGAGGCTGATGTAATCGTATCCTTCCTCGTTCTTTGCCTGTAAATCTTGAAGCATGGATTCAAATGTTTGAGGTAGTAGTTCGTAACCTGAGCATAAAATGTATAACTTACTAACTTTTTTCTTTAAAAAATGAAAACGATTGAAAGAAAAAAAACTACAGCAGTTTCACTTACCCATGCGCACAAGTAATTGGCGGTCATCATTTTTCTTGAACCTTCCATGGTAGTTCATAGAAATGTGTCAGATACAATACCTATGTTGGCCCAAGGGTGGTTGTCACATTGGACCCCAAAGACTCCATTGATGCTTTGATCCCAGCTCCGCGATCTGAGATGACAGAGATTTTTTCCCTCGTGATAACATGTGAACGTAAGTTTCGCAGGAAAAAAGCCCAAGAATCTGTGTCTTCTCCTTCAACAAGAGCAAAAGCAACTGGAAGAATGTTACGATTACCATCTTAGACAACTGCCAATAGTAAAACTTACTTGTATTTTCCATAAAAGAAAGTCCCGTTGATCTGGAACACAGGCTTGCAGTATTTGACAACATGAATGCACTATGGTTAAGTCAAAAAAACCCGGTAGAATTGGCATCGATCGTGAAGAACTTGATCAATATGGTATGCATAGGAGGTTTCGAAGTCCATAATTGTCCTAGGATTCAACCTCCGCACCACCCTAAACTAACTTGGAAGTTCGTTGTAAGATGCATCTCATTCGCTGTGAAGTTTTTTAATGGCATTCTGCTTTGCCTTCCATGTTTTTTGTATGAGACGGAATACCCATACTGCGATTTTATAGATGAAATCAACACAACAATAGCTATATGTGAGCTTGCTTTTACCATGGGAATGATGGCTTGGCAGATCACTTCAGATTCCAAGTTGGGATGATCTTGGTTGATCCCTCCAGCACAACATGTGTGAGGATCGTTGTATACCGTTAGTTCTCATATATTATTTTTCCTCTTCCTCTTCGATACGCGAACCATCCAATTGCATCCGTTTTCACGTCGGGCACAGTGGCATACATATTTTTCTGTCGTAGAGCGGGCGACTCTGGATTGAACAGAATTACGGATATTGTAATTTTTTATAACCATCGTCGCTTCTTCTTTGCTTGAAAACTCCATGCCTAAAGATAACTCACCATTATTTATTGATGAGTAAAATCCATAGCCACCGAGATGAGGTATATCCAGAAATTCTGACCCGTACATTGCACCATAGTCAGCTTCATACATGTGTGCTAGAGGTTCAGTTTGTGCCACATTTAAGGGAACTTCATCTACATCATCATTATCATCGGAGTTGAATTGCGGTGATTCTAGGTGAATGAATAGTCCAGCCTCAGCACCATCCGCACCTGGCTTACGAAGGGGTTCTTCTGGTGGAGATGATGGTTCCTCCATGCTCTCCATATTTAGATCGAAGACCTACTACTTGCATGTCTTCCCCTTGAACTAGAAGGCATATCGACATTGAGATCGAAAAAGCTCGCAGTCGAATGCCTCCCCCTAGAGCTTGAAGCCATCGTGTCAAATGGAAACTGCAAAGATTGTTGCGTTGAAGGCATCTCCATATTTAGGTCAAAGAAATTGGCAGATGAATGCCTTCCCCTTGAACTAGACGCGATGTTGCCATACGAATTGTTCGTGAACCCACCTCGGTACAGATCGTAAGGATTGTTGATGAATGTCTCCCTATCGAAGTTGATGGGACGGTACCATGCTGCAAATTTCCCATTATGGCATTAAAATCATTACACATTAATGTAGTCAACTTTATCAGCTTGTTCAGCTAGCCCATAGTGGGAGCTTAATGACAGACCACAAATAGCATACACTTTAACAAACTTTACATACATCTCCGTATCGACGTCTGAATAATTATTTTGAGAATCAACCATCATTTCAACATCATCATTGTTCGATAGTTTGAACGCTGTATAAGTTAATGGAGACAATGATGTTGGAAATCTGTACTGAAGCGATGACATTAGTCTAGTACTTCCAACATGAACCTTCCATGAAATCTTCGTTATCAGCTCCTCAAGAGTTATGTTTCTCTTGAAATATATTTTAACATAATGATTTGATACGAAAACAACTCCGGTTTCATCTTCCCGAATTTCTCTATCATAATAAACAATAGCTGAAATTCGTGTCATTCTTAGAGTTTGAAAGTGAGACAATCTTATATCTGCAAAAAAACCCTGAAACAAGCCTAATTAAATAAATAATATATGAATTAAAATATAACACAATAAAATTTTTACACATAAACGTAAATAATTTAAATAATATAATTTTATATTATTACCGTATCGACAAAAATATTTCGACGTATGCTCCCGCTTTTAAATTTTACAACCACAAAAATTAATTGAAAATAATTAGTACAATATTTTTTTTCAAATAATCATATATAATTATAAAAAATATTATTAAAAAATTGCCTTATAAAGAAATATCGAACGAACTTCTGAATCAAATATAAGAGGATTGTCGCGTGTTATTTACTGGTTGGGAGGATTATTGTATTAGTTTTTCGATTGAGAGGGAATTGTGAGAGAGTTTACGGGGGAGATGGGTATTTATAGCCGAGAGGAGATGCTTTAAACCCGAGAAATGCGGATGCAATTATGCAAGGCGCGGCCCATGCACCGCGCTATACCCTTACGTGGCTGAAGGCGCGGCCCATGCACCGTGTCTTACCCAGCGTGTCGCCATGTTAGCATAAGGTGTGGTGCATGGGCCGCTCCTTACCCCACGTGACACCACATCAGAGTAAGGCGCAGTACATAGGTCGCGCCTTCCTGCAAAGGGTGTTAGATCGAGAAATAAAGATGAAAAGGTATCTGACAGGGAAATAAAGTTTTAAACAGTAATTTTTTTGGGAAAATCGCCTAATACTCCCATAATTCAGTCTAAAGCATGACTCTAAAAACTAAACTAGGCATACGACTCAGTTTAACTTAGTTCATATCCATATTTAAATATCAATCTAAATTATAGATCATTACGAAACAAATAAATTATCAAATTTAATTTATCGTAATAAAGTATTTTATTTTGTTTTTCTTTGAAATATGATTTTATATATATTCTAATCGATTTGTTTTAGTTTGAATTATCAACTATTTTGGTATGTTCATTTTTAAATTTAACTTAAATAAAATATTTAATTAAATTCGACTAAATTTTTAAATAAAATTTAAATGATAAAATATAAATGATTAATTTGATATTTTTTAATTTAATTTAACTCAATTGAATATTCACTTATTTTTTTACTATATCAATAAGTTGATGTTTTATTAATGTATTATTATAATATTAAAAATTAATCCAGATAAATAAATCGCGATTTTATTTTCTAAATATTTATTTGACAGCAAAAAAGCAGCACAGTACAAAATCGGTATTTAACATATCTATAAATAGCGACGAAGTATCCGCTTTTAATTTCCTAGATTTTTTTTTTCTCTTCATATCCAAGGGCTTTTTTAGCTCTCTCTTGAACGCGGTATTGTTTATATGGCATCTCAAGCCAGCCTCCTCCTTCAAAAACAGCTCAAAGGTATTCCTTTTCTTTGATCGATTTCAATTTTAACGATTCTCAATACTATTTGGCTTTTTAGGGTTGGGTCGATTTTGAAACGACTAATGATTTCTGTATTTTGGCCAGATCTTTGTAAGAATCCGGTTGATGGGTTCTCGGCCGGATTGGTTGATGAGAACAATATATTTGAATGGAGTGTTACGATTATTGGACCTCCTGATACTCTTTAGTAAGTTCTTTTTTTAAACTTTTTTTTGGAGAAGTTTGTTTCTTTTTTATTATGATTGAAATTAGTTGTTTCTTATGGATTCTTTGTGTGGATGTGTTAAAATTGGAGAATGAGATTAATGCTTAATAGGGTTTAGGGTTTTGAAATTAAATTGGTTTGACTGGTCTTTAATTGATGATATAGTTGATGTAAAGGTCTTCTATAAAATTCAAATGGAATTATGGGTTCTAAATTGGATTATCTTGGTTGGATTTTAGGTGATTGAAAGTTTTGGGATATATGGTTTTTAGTTTACCTAGTGATTGTGTTGCCAATTGCCTTTCAGTAAGTTTTTTTTTTCTTTTGAATTCATTGCACACAACAACAGCACTGAAATAAATTGTTTGTTTTCACCTTTTATATGGAATGACTATGGATAGGGGCTGCTAAAAAATTGTTTATATTCATCCTTAAGTTTCATTGTTAAGATCTGGTTCTTGCGGAATTGGTTAAATCGAGAATGATAAATGGTAGATTCTTAGCTTCTATATGGATGTTGTTAGTTATGAATAGCGAAGATCGTTCTTGTGTGTTTTGAATTTGTTTATTCGCTAACGCTTCTCAACATTGGTATATGTTTACTGTTACGATAAGTTTCTTTGTTTTGCAGCATATGTTCCTTGTTAATGTGTCTTTCTTTCTCACTGCATAATTCTCTTTACTACTACTATGCCCGCCAGTAATCTCAACATGGAATGGAGTTCTTTAGGGCGTAGCTTGTAACTTTATGATTTTTTTTTATTAATATTCTTTAACAAAAGTATTCTAATTTCAGTGAAGGGGGATTTTTCAATGCCATCATGAGCTTTCCGCCTAATTATCCAAACAGCCCTCCAACAGTGAAATTTACAACAGAGATTTGGCACCCTAATGGTATACCATTGTCTGTTCATAATGTTGTGCCTAGGGATGGGCATGGGTCGGGTTTTTGGTCCACCCGACCCGACCCGAGAAGAAGGGGACCTCCACCCGTGACCCGACCCAACCCACAAAAATAGTTTTTCACCTGAACCAACCCGACCTGATAGATAGTTTAAAAAACCCGACCCAACCCGATTAATACTTGTTTACAGGAAGCTAAACTGAGGAATAAGTTTTATTATTTTTGTCTCTTTCTTTTGTCCTTATATATTATATAATTAGCTGTCATTATATTATTATTATTATTCAAACACCATTATGGTATAGCCGTGAAAAAAGGAGGGGAAAAACCGTGAAAAAGCATTAAAAGGTGTTAAAACATTAGCTAAAATAATTGTTGGAAGTCATGCCCTCGGGAACCAAAAATTGCCGGAATAAGAAAGTAAAAAAAAAATTTAAAATAATTATTCATTAACTATGCGGGTCGGGTAGGATTATTTTAGCCCCCAACCCAACTCCGAAAATTTTAATATAAAATCCGACCCGACCCGAACCCAATTTTTTTAAAAAAAATTCGACCTGATTTGGTCGGGTCGGGTCGGAACCTGTCGGTTTCGGGTTCCATGCCCATCCCTAGTTGTGCCTGTCTGATGCAAGATTTAATTTGATTTTTAATGTTTTTGCAGTTTATCCTGATGGGCGTGTTTGTATTTCAATTCTTCATCCTCCGGGCGATGATCCAAATGGCTATGAGCTCGCAAGTGAGCGCTGGATGCCAGTCCATACAGTATGTTTTTGAAGTGTAAATTATGCTTGAATTGTCTTTTTATTTATTACTATTATTATCATTATTATTATTTTCAATTGCCAATAATATTCATAGTGCCATAGATTTCAAATTGCTCAAAGTTCAACTACTTTAATTTACGGGCACCCTGCTCCTTACTTTGCCTCCTTTTATCTCGACACATGATAGTGCATTAACAAATGTATATCCTTACAATGTGGCAGGTTGAAAGTATAGTATTGAGTATCATATCAATGCTTTCCAGCCCCAATGATGAATCTCCTGCAAATGTTGAAGCTGCTGTAAGTGATTGTTGAATTTTTTTTATTATTTTATTCCTTTTTCGTTTTAGTATGGTGTTTCGTTTTGTTGATTTTTTTATCTTCCTAGTTTCATTTCTCCCTGAAGTATGACTTACTAATATTTGTGATTTCATGTGATGTTACTTCCGAATGTTTGATGTCCTAGCATGGTGTCTACCCTTTCAATCACCAAAACTCAGTGGTTTAACATGATGCCATAGTTGTTTGACGAGATTGCATGATTACAAGTATATTATTAAGAATGTAAAACTAAAGAATCAAAACCTATTTTTCTGATTTTTTTTAATCAATACTTGTTGATATTGGCACAGAAGGAATGGAGAGAGATGAAAGACGAATTCAAGAGAAAGGTAAGCCGCTGCGTCCGACGGTCACAAGAAATGTTGTGATCATGTTGGCTGTTGCTACCTTCTATTCTCTACCATTTTCGAACACATGGAATGTGTTATCATCTATCTTGTAGGGAGATCAGATGTGGTTGATTAAATCACAGTTCTTGTGAACCTAGTGAATGCCTAAACTTCACCCCCTTTTTCCTTTTTTGTGCCTTCAAGTAGTAATTTGTAATAACTCGAATGTTATTTTGTATTCGAAAGCGTTTCGGTTTTGGTTAGTGTTTATTTACAAGCGTTGTTGTTGAGAGCAGCCTCCCTTGTAATAAGTCTCATATGTGACTAACTCTTATTTTGATGGACAATATCTTTTATCAGATTTTTTTTGGTTTAATCATCTGTGTTTGATTTATTAATTGATTCTTTTGGATTGAGTTTCGTAGAGACTTATTATGGGGTGATACTCCCAACTCAGTTTGCTCTATTCGCAAACGTTAAGATTTGAACTCACAATATTATTAAGAATTTAGTGTCTCATTTTAATGGACTATGTGTTGTTTGTTTACTGCTGAATGCAACTATTCAGCGCTGAAAGTTGAAGCGTTTCAACATTCAGCGTGTTTGATTCTCACATCTGAATGAAGAATGTGTTGAATGATTCAGCAAAACACTACTGAATGATTCAGCATTAAAGTACATTCTGAATGATTCAAAATCATTATCAAACAGCATGTCACATTCAGACAGAGCTTTTGAATTATTCAGGTCATTGAATCATTCAAAGCTTAATCATTCTGATTTAATCAAACGGCCCTTAAATAAACTAATTAGTTGTTAACCTTTTATCACGTACCTTTGTTGATTCTTTTACAAGCCTTTGTATTATTTTTTAAGTAAACTTAACATGCAGCTATCATGATATTGTTATCTTTTGTAAGAAAAATAGTGTCATCTTGTATAAATTTGGATATGTTGTCATATTTGTCATCTTTTTATAAATTTAGATGTGTTATCATATTTCGTAAACTTTCAATACATTTGAAGTTTTAAAAACTTCAAAGCTTATATTAAATATCCTAAATTTCTTGTAATTGTATTTTTATTTTTTAGATTTTTTATAATTCATACATTCATATTATAATGTATTGGTGATGGTTGATTAAGGGGAAAATTATTTATATATTTTAAATGTAATATAAGATTTTTGTAGGTTCCAATTCGAGTTTGAGTTCGAGCTCAAAATTGAGCTTCAATCGAGCTCCTGAAATTTTTGAGTTCGAGCCTTTTCGAGTTCGAGCTAAGCTTCATAATTTTTAGCTTGCGAGTTTTCAAGTCGACTCACCCCTACGTTTAAAGTTTTCGAGTTCGAGTCGAGCTCAGTAATATTCGAACTCGACTCGGCTCGTTTACACCCCTAGGTAGGAAGCTTGATTTGTTGTAAGATGATATAAGGTTATCCACTTACATTCTAAGTTTTTTCACTAAGTCAAAAAGCTGGTTTATAAAAAAATCGGTTCGGATAATAACCGGTTTGGAGGGCCGGATGATGTAACCGGTGTAACGGTTTCGGTTTGAAAAAAACCGGTTTTTTAAAAAACCTGTTTTTAATCCGGTAAAAAATCCGGTCATCCAATTTTTTAAACCTCAGACCGGATTTTTTTCCGGATAAAAAACCAGTTTTTTTCTGTTTTTTTCAAACCGGTTTTTAATCCGGTAAAAAATCCGGTCGTCCAATTTTTTTCCAAACCGATTATACTTCGGTTTTAAAATATCCGATCCGGTTAAAAAAACCGGTTTTTCCCAAATCCGATTTCGCATATTTTTTACGTAAAATCGGATATTCAGATTTTTTGTGTACCTCTAGTTGCTAGCATGGAAAGAAAAGTAACGATGGATCAGGCGATTGTGGTTAATGAAGGGGAAGAAGTTAAGAGGTTAAAAAAAGGTTGGAATTTAATGCTGATGTAGAAAAAAAATTAAAACTTTAAGTTCAAATGAAAATGTAATGATGATTAAGAAAAATATATTTTAAATTTGATTGGTTGACATCATATCTTATGTGATAAGGAAGATTCATAAAATAATTTCTCATGGAATGGTAATACAAGGACTTAAGAATGTTAAATGACTTTTTCATTGAGTAAATATATTGTGTACTCTATCAGTTTTGATTACTTTTGAAAAGTAAAATTGTATTATTTTTAAAAAGTGAGATTAGAAAGTGTTGTAAAAACTATTTTTAATTTGAAAAGTGCAATTTAAATGATATTTTATAATCATATATAATAGATATATATTTTTTGTATTACATATACCATATAAAGTCGATAGACTCAACTCAAACTTCAACTTAAATTGAAAAATCAATCTACTAATTACTAAAAATCTCGAGTTATTCGAGTTTTATTTTACAACTCGATTTGAATTCGAAATTTTTTCGAGTCGAGTTTTTTCGAATCGAGTTCAGTAAAAAAATCGATCTTTTGAGTCTAGTCGAGTTTTGCTCACCCCTAATTTGAGAGTACTTTAAAAATGATTTGGAAAAGATAAATATTTATTTTTAAACATTATATTAAAAATTAAAAATCAAATAATTGAGGATAAAAAATATAATTTTATCATAAAAGTAATTTTCCAGAGCAAAAGCTAAAAACTTTTATCTTTTGAAGTCAAGTTAAAATTTATTTTAATAGAGCCTTTACCGAAATAATACGACATGAATATGAAAATACTGTGAACTCTATTTTATTCATTAAATTTTTTATATATATTTTTTTCTTAATAGAATTTAACGAGGCATGATTATGGTTGATGGATATTCAAAGGAGAGTGTTATAAATGAAATCATAAATTGATTGTCCATTCAACTTTCAGTCCCACTCTCAATTTATTATTATAACTATTATTTCCTATATAATTTCTAAGAAGAATTTATTAAAATAATATATTTTTATTATTTTATTTAAATAGCATCTAACCAATATTATTAATAAAAATGAAATTCTTTTATAAGGACGTGTTTTCTGAAGCGACATATCATTTCGTCGGCCTCTCCTAAGTTGACATCACTCAAAATCAAAGTGTAAAAGTAATAAACTAAAATTTATACGGAATTTTCAAAAAAAAAATGGCACAGTATTATTTTCATACAATTGCCCATTATATGGACAATTATTTTTTCATTGCATGGTCGCCTATAGCATATATAAATTTATGAGATAATAAAACTATACTATTATTGTGTCTTATACATATTCCTTCTCTCTTATTTTTACTATGTTTTCATAACAAACTATATTTTTTTTACATTAAAGTTTAGGTCAGGGATGACTTCCCTAATCCAATGTCAAGCATACCTAAGATCCAGTATAAGAGTTATATCGGTTAGATAGAAAGAACTTGTTTGTATTGGGGGTTCTTTTTTCAGATTGTTCTTGTGTGTTCTTCATCTAGTCTTTGCTTCTTGGAGTTTGTCTAAGACGGGGTAGTTTGATATTAGGCGTGTTCTACATGTGTTATTTATTCCTCAAGTGTGGAATACTCTTTTCACCTTTTTAGGTTTAGGGGGCTTTTAATGAGACTCACACTTAGGGATACGTTTTTCTTCCCCTTATCAATATTAAAACGGTCTTGTTGCTGAGCAAAAAAAAAATTGAGATTTATATAGGAATTTACATATTGCCCACTAAGAGTGATGATGGTAAGATTCAACTCTATTATATATTGATTTTGTATAAAAATAAAGAAAATTAAATTATTCCATTTAATATTTTTTAGGTAAAATTATTTTTATTAATAAAAGTTAAATTAAGAGCCTCGTTAAAAACCTCTTTAAACCTAAGGGGAGGAAAAGAGCACTATTAAGGAAAGATTACACCAACGATAAAAACATCCAAACCAAAAACATAAAAAGACTGCAGCCAAACAAACTCAACCCAAAAAGAATACATACATAATACCCAAAGCCTAAAGGCATCCACTTTCACTACGCTAATACAACAACTAACACCAGCCCTACTTTTAATATTTTAAGGAAGCCAGCTATAGATCCGAACCACTCAGAATGAACACAATCACACGGGCCAGAATAAGCAGTAAAAACACCTAGATGAAACCTACAAAAAGTCAACTGGATAAAGATACTCACTTTAAATTCTTCAAATTCCTTAGCAGCTTTGCCAACTCACAAAACATAGTGAAAGAACTTTGACTAAAGGCTGGACATAGGTTGCAATTTCGTAACATTCATTAAGAGAATACTACCACTTCCACCAGGCTTTGAATAAGCTTGATCTCGACAACCAATCCTCTGCTAGCCAAGTACCTGTTAGAGTATGTCCAAAGACCAATCATATGATGATTATAATAATACTTTTATTTACCGATTTTATTGAATAAAGGCATTACCACTATTATTTTCATTTATATATATGTGTTTAACATAAACTGGAAGATAATAAGTACATATAATGACATAATTGTTATTATTAAAAAATTCCTAGTCAAGTATTATTATGGGCATGGACAATGATAATACGCTTAAGACTAACATGTTATTGATTGATGACAACGAGTTGTCATTGACATAGAGATGTCAGAATTGATACATGATTATATTGTTAGAGAACAATGTATTGGATTGACCGACCATGAGCATATGTCTTGGATTATTATGTGACAGTCATAACATTGCTCATGGTGATGACTATATGTATGATCCTCATACTTGAGATCAATACTATCCCAACATATATTGTTGTATGTTTTGATGCAGCTAAACAAGCTCCGTAATTGGTTGTTCTATAAAGACTGTTATTGAATATATCTCAATTTATGTAGTGGGTGTGTATGATTAAGATAGAATTTGTCCTTCCTACATAATAGAAAATATATCATAGGCCACTTGATTGAGTAAGACTATAAACGCATGACCATGCTCGAATAAGTTGATATGAGATATCATAAACTATTCGTTAATTAAAGTCTACTCTAGATATCAAGAAACAATAGATGGGCTATACAAGTGTGACTATTCCAAGACTTGTGCTTATTCTAGATATAAAGGACATAAGGATGTAATACATAAAAGAGTAATCACCAAGATGATATGTCGAATCATATTTTCTTGTAACTTAGGTGACAATGATATATTGCTAGATATCACTCATTTTATGTAATATTAAAATTATTCTAATAATTACTACTAACGTTACAAGAACCTACAAGGTCACACAGTAGGATTGAAATGAGCAAAGACGTACAATTTGTTGTACGTTACTAATATATATATATATATATAGTTAATTAA